TTCCCTACAAATACAGAATCTCAATCTTGAGCTTGATGTTGATGAATTACCTAACGCATGAATCGCAAGTTTCCACATTTAAAATAGTAATATATATATATATATATATATATATATATATACATTTGAGTAATGAGTATATATTATATGTTATCACTTCCAACTTTTAACGAGTATTCTTATCTAAATTTCAAGACAAATATCACAACATCTACCAATTTCTTATTTTGAAATTGCCTTTTTAGATTTATACCACCGTATAAAAATATTCGAATAAATGAATGAATTATGCATAAATCTATTATAATAATAAAAACAATAAAGTTTTTTATTATTCTAATTAGCTTCCAATTTTTAATGTTGAAGCTTTTGACCGTATGGTATTATATTTCCATTATTATTTTATAATTTTGCAAACAGCTTCGACCTATACATGTCGTACATTATTAATTTCGATTCAAGTTATTTATAAAAAGTTTTTAAACACACTAAGTCTGCGCTAAATGCACGTATAAACATTATATTAATAAATTATTTTAAAATAAGCCATATGGACCATTTATAAAACAGATTTTAGAACAGAAACAAAATTACAAATAATAGATTATAAATTTTTAAACGGATAAAGTATAATAACATAGTCCAATATCGTCAGAAATGATTTTGCTTATTAATTAATCGACCTAATTTTAAAACAAACACGAAATATTTTCAAATATATATACTCACTAATAGTTATAAAGATGCAAATGAGTTAGTTGTACACAGTCTTAATAAATAATGTATTATTTTATTTTATAAAACGATAAATGATAAAATGGAATTATATATGTAAATAGAAATTAAATATTAAATCTCGTTTAAACGCATTACAAAAGATATTCGACAATTTAATCTTGTTACTTTCAAATTCATTTTACACGTTAAAAAATATTTTATTATTATTGATTAAAACCACGCAAGAATAATTATGAAAGGTTTTTTCATCTTCGCTTCTTAAATTGTTCTCACAAAAATAATTTAATATTTTCCTAATATTCTGATGGAAATCATTTGTTTACAGTACAGAATTACGTTCTAAGCCAATAAATTTTGTAATCATAAATTAAAAAACAGTATTATATGTTTTCATTATGCAATTGTATTTATTTAAAATGATATGTAATAATATGTAAGAATAGTTAATTCTCTTTTTATAACAAAATTTAAATTTAATTTGTCTTTTTATTTAAACGTTTAAGTTTTTGCTTAAGTGATAAAAATTATTAAATAAATGAATAAAGATTGATATTGTAAAAAAATCATCGTAGCGATATTCATATCTATACATAAAATCTATATCTATACATACATTTAAAATATACACGCATTCGCGCGAGACTTCTTTTAGTATTTATAATATATTTTAGGATGTAAAGAGATGATAGTGGTATTCTCTCCCACTCTCTCTTCCTTACTCTCTCGCTGGTTGACTAATCCCACTAAAGTTGTTGGAACTCACATTTCATCTCGAGTTGCCTAGTTAAGCCTGCATAGGTTATTCGCAAATGCTTATTCGGATCTATAATTATATATATATATATATATATATATATATATATATATATATATATTTTGCAACGAAGATTAATCTATCTTATAAATTATCTCTCCTTAGGTAATATAAATAAAGTATTATTTGGTCTCTTTTAAATCAGATTGATTCATATTTGAAAAATTGTATTATCTTGATTTTTCAAATTTTCATATTACTTTGGAGCAAATGCTTAAATTGATTGAAATAAATAACTCAGCCAATATTTGTAAAAAATATCTAGTATACTGATTTATGTACACATATATGTTTATACTTTCATACATTCAAAAAAAAAATTCTTATTTATTATTTATTTATATTAATCAATTAATATCCTATCAATAATCATTTACTAGTGAAAGCATAAAAATTTAATAAATTTTACAAAATTTTATTTAATATTGTTCGTAAGAGCATTTGTTATTTTAATGACATAAATCATAGTTAATTAAAAGTATTGAAGATATAAACATATAGTTGTAGTTATGAAATTAAAATATCTCTTACGACTAGATAAATTACCGAAAAGGTATATATCACTGGAAAATAATCTTTCCGCATAGTCCAAGAGAAATTTGTAAAAGTCATAAGAAAAAAATTAGTGATTCTGCAAATTGTATACAAAAAAAAAAAAAAAAAAAAGAAAAGAAAAGAAATTTTATTTAACATATATATATACATCATTGATTAAATATAATATTAATTTCTATTCGTATTTTGCGAAGCATTAAAAAATTTAACCACGAAAGTAAAATTCAATCCATAATCAAATGAATGTATAAAATTTATATAAACATAAAAAAAAATTAAAAACAAAACTACTTGCTTATTTAATTCCAACTAAAATATATTAAAAATGTTAGATTATATGGTTTGACAATATAATAATCATTATAATTTCATGATAATAGTATGGATAGTAGACACATTGTTAGAAGCAATTTAATTAAAAATAAAGAATTAATTTTAACATGAATACTTGAATCTAGATGACACTATTAATAAGAAATATATTGTAATGCTAATTGGAGAGAAAATTATTACTGGTTCTAATACTTTTAATTACTACTCAATATTGATTATTAAATCTTTAATAATGATAATTTGAATACTTTAAAAGATAATGAATTATAACTTGCTTTGTTTATGGAATAATATATAAAATAATATTTCTGTTTTCTTTTTTAAAGATATTTTTAAAGACTACAAAGATATAAAATAGCTAACAAAATTGAATCAAACCAATGTAAAATGTTGACTGTTTTCTCATTAATCCATTACAATTTTATGATAACTATCAAAATAATAATTAT